GGATGGATGGATGGATGGATGGATGGATGGATGGATGGAAGGGTAGATGGATGGGTGGGTGGATGGAAGGGTAGATGGATGGGTGGGTGGATGGAAGGGTAGATGGATGGGTGGGTAGATGGAAGGGTAGATGGATGGATACATGGATGGAAGGATGGATGGGTGGATGGAAGGGTAGATGGATGGGTGGGTGGATGGAAGGGTAGATAGTGGGTGGGTGGATGGAAGGGTAGATGGGTGGGTGGGTGGATGGAAGGGTAGATGGATAGATGGATAGAAGGATGGATGGAAGGTGGGGAGCAGGTGAGTTAAAGAGAGGGCTCGTACGGCGTGGATAGAAGCTGTATTTGTGCGTCAGTGGGTCAGTTGGTGGATTGCCTGGCTGGTGATGGGTGGGTTTTCTTATCAGAGAATAAGATGGAGACGGGTGAAGAGAAGAGAGGTAAGCATCTCACCCTGCCCCTCTCCTGGGAGACATGAGCATCAGCGGCCGGAGTCTGTTCTGTCATTAATGAAGCCAATGGAAAGGTGACGAGGTGGAGAGATGGTGGGGGAGTGGGGGTGGGGAGGTGGAAGAAGAGGGTGAGGTCCTTAGGCCTGGGGCTTGGTGCTGAGCAAGGGCAGGTCCTGGGCAGAGAGGACTCGACAGAGGGGCCCAGGCTGGGGTGAGAGGCAGGACCCCAGAGAGGAAGAAGTTGGCTGGTCAACACCTCTCCGTGCCCGGGTCAGTGGCCAGCCTGCCTGGCACTGGGATGCAGGCATTCCATACCTGGGGGCCGGCTGACGTCAGCAGAGAAGAGCCAGTCTGCAGCCTTCCTCGCGTCTGGTCCCACCAGGTAGAATTTCCCGAAGTAGGACATGTCGAACACAGCAGCAGCCTCTCTGCAAGCCAGGCACTCCTTCTTGATCTGGAAGCCCAAGCGTGGGCAAGACTGAGGGGCTGGCCTGCGCATTCTCCGTAAGACCGTGGGGCTGCTCTTTCCCAAGCCCTCTGAGCTCCCCGAGGAAAGCTTCTGGTTGGCAAGCCCTCTGAGCTCTGGAGCACACCCCAACACGCTCTTCTCCACACTCAGAACATGCTCCACAACGGATCACACGCTAACTAAGGGCCACAACGTCACAAGGGCTCGCCTCAACCCAAGCCTTCTCTCTGACGACAATGGAGGCAAATGCGAACCCCTAACGGGTGAGAAATACACCAAGTAGCCTTAGCCTTGCAGACACGGTTTTGCCTCAGTGGGTGAACGCTATTGAGATGTTTGCCCGCTGTCTGAGGTCCAGCTGCCTTGGTGGGTACTTAGAAACGGGCTTTCTGCTCGTATACAGAGTGACAGTCTTGGGACAGTAGCTCTTCCCTGTCCTACAGACTCGCTATGAAGCAGACTCCACTCAATGGCAGGGAGCGGGGGTTGTGTGAGCCGAACCCTCCCTGGTTTTTAAGACAGTGTTGGTTACTGAGGTTTCTAACCTGTGTAAGTGACCCTCCCCTGTCTTTCAGTCTGAAAAAGCGTTCCTGTGTATGCACATTTTCCCAGGACTTTAAATTCCGTACCACCGGCTAGATTCGTGACACTCTGATTACCAAATGGCTCATGGAAGTTACCTAAATATTTCTCAACAGGGTGACAATGCTCCCTCTCAATCAGTGGCTCTCAACCTTCCCAATGCCACGGCCCTTTAATGCAGTCCCTCCTGTCGTGGTGACCGCTGCTGGCCTCTCAAACTCCCTGTCCTCCAGCCGATTCCAACCCCGGTGACCCCCGAGCCTGACTGTTGCTCGGCTGCAGGTGGATCCCCGGGGTGAGGTGGGCTCCAGTCTTCCAGGGTGGCTGAGCCTCACAGTCCCGAGGGTCCCACTGGTCTACCAGACGGGAAGCTGGTCTCCTTCACGCCTTTGCCCTGTGTTCCACATTCTCTTCTGCTCTCTCCGGGGTCTTCTACTGCGGTCCCTCTCAGAGCGGCCCGTCGGCAGTGGTCTCTGGGCACCCTCTAGTCCTTCTGGTCTCAGGGGCCTGCGATTTTGTTTGCAGGGCCTCTGGGTTCATCTGTTTAACAGTTCCACTGGCGTACGATCACAGGCACAAGCATGAGGAAGATGTTCTCAGCAATGATTGAGTCGATGATGACGGCTCTTCTTTAATGCATTTAGACCGCCGAATTGTATGGCGCGTGAATTGCACGCCAACGGAACTGTTAAGAAACAGACTGTGACGAAACAAGCGGATCTACAAAGAAACTCTCAGCCCCCTGGGACAGAAAGACGAGCTGGTGCCCACGGACCACTGCTGACCGACGGCTCCACTATAGAAGACCCTGGCTCAATGGCAGTTAGGAGAGTGGAACAGGACACCCATAAAGCGCATCCTACAACCTGTGGGTCATGACCCCTTTGGGGGTCGAACGGCCCTTTCACAGAGGTCACCTGATTCATAACAGTAGCAAAATGACGGTGATGAAGTAGCAATGAAAATAAATTGGGGGGGGGGGGTCACCATCACACGAGGAACTGGATGAAAGGGTTGTGGCATGAGGAGGGTTGAGGACCACTGGCCTAAAGGTTCCAGTCTCTGCAACCCCCAGGGTCAGTTAGACCCCGCCCGTCCTGCAGAGTCTCAAGTTGAAGTCCACCCAGTAGCAGTGGGTTTGGAGACCATGCTACCAGAAACAGCTGGCTGCTTCTAGGGACTCACGGTGGAGCCACCCTCTGATGGGAAAAGCCGCACAGCTGATGAAGAAGGAAGGAGCCTCCCATTCAGTCAAAGATGGAGAGCTTCCCGAAGACCAGGAGCAAGGCCAGCGCGGCCCGCTCCAGCGCCCGTCAGCACTGCCCGGAGGCTCCGGCCAGGTCAGCGAGGTAGCTACCGTGAGCCATCGTCCTCTCCAAGCAGCCCCGATGGGGCAATGGTTGCGAGCTTGGCGGCAACCCACAAGGTCCGCAGTTCAAAGCCACCAGCTGGTCCTTGGGAGAAAGACACGAGTCTCGAAGGCCACAGGGGCCGTTCAACCCGGCTTTCTATAGGGTCGCTGAGAGTTAGCATGGACCTGAGGGCAGTGGATTTGGGCCTTCTTGTGTCCCCTCCACGTCTCCCCAGCCTTGACACACACACACACACACACACACACACAGGCCCATTCAAGAGGTCTCGGTGCTGGGCGTATTTACACCACAGACACTGGCCGGTGCTACAGAGGTGCTCAGGGCACCGAGTGTCCATTCACTCCCCACACCCCTGCATGTGCCATGGGCTTCCTGCATCTGCCCCGGCCTTACCAGCCCCTGCTCTGAGCCGGGAGCAGTTTCTGCTGGGCAGCTAGGGCTGCAGACCAAAGCTAAAGCCAGCTTCCAGCTGAGGCTCATCTGCTGGCCTGGGGACCCTACCAGCCTCGGAAACAAGCATGGACTCCTGCCTTCAGGCTGCTCGGGCGTCTTGGTCACAAGTTGACTGGCACCCCCTGAGCCCCCGAGTCCCCAAGGGCCAGGAGAGACTGGCTTCAAACACACTAGGCTCACCCCACTACAGAGGCCGCCTGCCCAGAGGGGCTCGGTGGGGAGGTGGGCTTTGTGGCAGGCACCCTCCTGCTCCCTCCGGCCTGCTTACCAGTTTGGCCACCAGGAAGGCAAACATAGTTATCCAGCTTACCTGCTAAAGGTCAGAGGTCCAAACCCCACCCCGCACCCCACCCACAAGACACCTTGGAAGGCAGTTCCTAGAGGTCTACTTGCGACAAACCAGCCCGAGGGAGCCCTGCAGACGCTCTACTGGGCCTCCGTGGGTGGCTGTGAATTAGAGTCCACCCCGCTGCCACCAAGGACCCGAGGCTCCCAACCGACCCAGTCACAACCTGCCGTGCACCAGCAGCAAGCCCCCAGGACCAGCGGCGCGCCCCTCCGTGCAACGTGAAGTGGGGCCTTCATTCAAATTTTATGAAAACTCTTCAAAGCTCAGAGTGGTTACTTGTGGGGCTGTGGTGCCGAAGGTCGGCAGTAGAGAGCCACCACCCGCTCCGTGGGAGAGAGGGGGTTCTGCTCCTGAAATGAGTGACAGTCTCAGAAACTCACAGGGGCGGCTCTACCCTGTCCTACAGGGTCGCTGTGAGTCAGCACCGACCCGATGGCAGAGAGTTAAAAGCTGGAAAGGCATCTAAGGGGCAACGACGACGAGTCTGTCCCAGTTTGGAGGAGATGAGTGACAGGAATTGAAGGTCCACGGGGAAAAGGCAGTCCATGGACTCACGGACCAAGCGAACCCCAGCCTCCGGGACCCAGAGACCAGAATGAGATGCTGCCCGGCTGCCAACTGCTTGGAAAGGGATGCGTCAGAAGATCCCGGGTAGAGAGGGGAGGTGGAGGGAACGTGGAATAAATCGTAAAAGAGACCGGGCTCCAGGCCAGGTAGAGGCTGGTGTGATACCTGAGATGATGACCCTCAGTCCCCCTTTAAGTCTGGAGCCGAATTCTGTCTAATAGGGGGACGCAAAGGAGGCAGGTCTTCAAGGAGATGGACGGACCACTAGCGCAAACCAAGAACGACTGTGGGATGGCGCAGGGGCGCGCTTCCGTCTGGGAGCGGGACCGGCCACACTCCCAGCACCAGGAAGGGGCACATTCCTCTCGGAATCCGTCCATCTGGGAGCAAGGGGCAGCAGCGCTAAGCCCAGGTCAAAGTTCAGAGGGTTAGGAAGGAAGGTGTGGGAACCGGAAACCCAAGATGCAGAGGAGCTGGGGGGAGCAGTGGGCAGCCAAAAGGTAAAATCAAGGCGAGGAGGATTGTTGGATGTAAACCACGATCCGCTCTGGGAGCCTTCCCTACATTCACAAGAGGACGGCTTTTAACCTCAGCGGCATCCACGAGCGGTTTCAGAGAGGCAGCAGCAGACCCGGACATCGGCCTTGGCACTTCTCGGGGCGTGGCCATAGGTGCAGGTAGGCCACCGCGGGGTGGGGCCGGGGCGTGGCCATAGGTGCAGGTAGGCCGCTGCGGGGCGGGGCTCCGGGGCTGCGGGCCTTGTTCTTCCCCAAACCTCCCCGTCCTGTCTGTCTCTGCTGTGCCGGCAGTGTGTTCGAAGCTGAGAGCCCACTGCTCCCGGCCCCGGAGGTATACAGCTGGGACGCTGCTCAGAGAGGGGACTCTGCCTGCGCCTGCCTTGGCACAGAGGGAGGGGCCAGAATGAGAGGCTCCCCCAGGCCCAGGTGCTCACCGCCTCGTGGTGGGGCGGGAAGTGGAAGGTGTACTCATCGCTCAGCAGCTTGTTGTAGGTGTAGTCCTGGTGCGCCTGGTGCCCGTAGGCTCCGTAGTAGTCGTAGTCCAGGACCTGTGGACAGAGCACGTTGTCACCGCTGGGTCACCCTGGCCTTGCCTGCCTTCCTGCCCATGCACATACAGGGCCGGGGCGGCTGGCAGACCCTGAAGGGATCCTGGGGGCACAGCGTGAGCCGGCTTTATACTCAGTCCTGCCCTCACAGAGTGATGGGGGGGGCAGGCATTCCATAAGCAGTCAATGCCCCTTGGTGGGGTGCCAGGAGGGTGGGGTGTATTCAGGACTTGGGAGTAGGGACTGGGGGGAGCTGGGGGTCAGGGCCAACCCCGAGCAGGGAGAGGAAGGGGTGACGAGGGGTGGGCAGCCTGGATGGTACCAGGTACTCTTGCCATGGTGACGGCACCTGTCTACACTGGGGAAACTGAGGCACAGAGGCCTGGACCACCTCAAGATCAAGGCAGAACCTGGGTGGAAGGCGGCAGGGGTCTCCGGGACTGGCCCCTCACCTCACCGGACTCAGTTTCTCCCCTCACCCACTCGAAGACCCTCTGAGGGTCTATTCCCACTGACAAAGCCCTCCCTCACTGCGCACCCACAGAGGGGGGGCAGCTGTCCGCCTTCCATCACCAGCCCCTAGGTGAGAGTCCAGAGTGGGTGATGCCGAGCCCTGCAGAGGGTCCTCCCAGGACCACTCCTTGATGGGGCAGCAGAGGGTACTCCAGCTCCCCACCCAAGCCTCTCCCAGCCAGCCACGTGGGAGAAGGGAGCACTGGGGGCCATCCAGAGTCCTGCCTGGCCTGGTCTCCAGCCAGCCTCTCTGCCTGGGCCCCAAGCCCTCAGCCCGGCCCCCTGTAGACAGAGTGTCCTCATCATGGGGGCTCTGTGTCCCAGCCAGTGGGGACAGGGGACAGTGGCTGACAGCTGGGAGCAGCCTAGGCTGCCGTAGCCCACTGAGGCCCTGGAACTCAGGGGACCTGGTTGCTATGACAACGGGAGCTGTGCTGAACTGAAAAGGGATTGATGGGGCCACAGAGGAGCCCCAGGGCTCCCCAGAGTCGCTCAGACAAGCTACTGCCGGATGGATCCCGGCGGAGCCCGGAGCTCCCCGGGCACCCAGAGCCAGCCGGTGAGACCCCGCTTATCAACTAGGCCGAGAAGTCACACACCTTCCCACCGATATAAACTCGCAGGTGTAGTTGCCAAAAACCACAAGAGTGGGCTTGGGAGATGCTACCTCTAACGTGGGCCCCCGCCCTCTGCCCATCCCCCCTCCCATGGCATGGGCTCAGGTGTCTGGGTCCCACTGGGTCCTGGCTGTGGAGCCCTCCCGGTGGGGGTGGGGGCACCGGTACCCGTAGAGGCATGGCCCAAGGCAGGTGCCCCGCTCTGATGGGCAGATGGGGGCCGGGGCTTTGCCTGCTGTCACTTAACCATCAACCCAAACTCAGGGTCTGATCTGGCTCCAAGGGGCAGGAGGGCAAGAGGGCAGGGCAAGGGCAGGGGAGACGGACTGTGGCCAGGCAGACCTCTGGGCCGACGGGCAGTCCCCCTGGCTGGTAGAGGTGGCCCTACCTACCGGGGCTGCCCCGTGGGGGCTGAACCATCCGGGCCGCTCCCAGCCATGTCTCTCTTGGAACACGCAGCCTTGAGCCAGCAGCTCCTGGCAGAGGGAGAGAGAACGTCACCTTCCACCTGGCCGACAAGCACCCGGGACCCCGCAACACCCCAAGTCCCGCAGACGGCAGCTTCAGGCAGCCTTGACCCACTCTGCCCCTCAAACCTGAGGGTGCTTGGGCAGGAGGTCCTCAAACCCTGACCAGGCCCACAGCCCACACGGCCTCGTCCCAAGCGGGCACAGCCGTCTGACAGCAGGTGGCCCCCTGACCGCAGGGAGGGTGTGCTGTGGTCACACTGGCACTCGGTGACCCCAATATGTCTCTCCTGGGATTCAGTGATTCCAGGCTTCTTGGGAGGCACAACCCAGGTGTGAGTGACCGTCCCCACCCCAGTGAGAGGTGCCCAGTGACCTTAGAGGGACAGTCCTCTAGGGACCCCATGCACAGTGGGGTCTCCTCTGAGTGGGAACCCCCAGTCTACGGGAGGGGGTATGTATCCCTGCCAACACTTAGAATGCCATGGAGTGGGCCTCCAGCGGGAGGAGGTACAGCAGCCCCACCTGGCAAACCTGACAGCGTCGTCTCACAAGGGTGGGGTGCTCAGGACGTAAGAAGTGACAACAGGTGGCTGGTCAGGGAGACCCCGGGCTCAGGTGGGCTGGTCCATCGGTCAGGCCAGAAGCCCTCAGTCCAGGTGGTCTGGGAACTGACCACTGACAGCCTGGACCCTGCCCTGGGTCTTCCCGCCCCCCCATCCCCACGAGGGAGGTTCAGCTGCAATGCCTCCTGCCTCCTCCGCTTCCCACTACCCTCTCAGCAGCTGTGGGGGCGGGCTCTGAAAACCAGATAGGCCAAAGACCAGGGAGCTGACCAGCCAGGAGGAAGGCCAGGACCCAGGGGAAGCCCAGGGAAGGAGCACCCAGGCCATGGGGGCCTGGGTGGCCATGCAAGCGCAGGCCCCAGAGAAGAGCACTTGACAGTGGGTTTTGCCATATATGTAGGAGTTTACCGGGGTGGGCAGGGCATCTCAGTTGGGCTTAGGATCATGCTGCTGGCTGGCTGCTCCTCCCTCTGACCCGATCTTCCCCAGACCTGCCCCAGACCTACCCCCACCTGTCTGACAGCACATGTATGACCTCCTGCCTTTTCAGTCACCTGCATTTTCGTGTCCCCAGGCAGGACCTCTTCCTGCACATTCAGCAACATGTCCCAGCCCGGGCTCAGGGCCTGACTTGTCAGGGTACTCAGCAAGCACATGGGACATTCAGGCCTCGGTGCCTCTCCTGCCCTGCTGTCCCCCAACACCCCGGGCGCGGGGAGCAGGTACCTTGTGCAGGGGGTCTTGCCGCATGTTGCGTCCCGCCAGGGGCTCGTCGTGGGGGAAGACCACAGAGTAGTTCTTGGCATAAGACTCGTGGCTGCGCTCCCGGACCCAGCGGCCGTGGTCAGTGAGTGAGTGGTGGAAGCGTCTGTGGACGGAGGGCAGGTCAGCACCTGGAGACCATGACGGGGGACCCCCAGGGGGTCCAGCCCCTGACACAGGGACCCCGAGGGCACTGTGGTGGCAGCATCCAGAGACAGGCGTTGGTCCAGTTCAGGTGATGGCCTGAGGCACCTCTGCCAGGCTGCATGCAGTCAGAGACAATGGGCTAGATTCCATCCCTGGACCCCCAGGAGAGCTGGTGGAAGAGCCCAGACAGGCCCAAAGCTGTGCCAGTGCCAGGGGCAGGGCCTCAGTGTACACCCCACCCCACCACCCGGGTTCCATGTCCCCACACTTCAGCAGGCACAGGTAGGCACAGAAGCAGAGTTGGGGGTGAGGAGGGTGCAGGGGCTGGGATCCAAGCTCTGGGGAGGCCCGGTGCTACAGGGTGGGGGTGGGGTGGGGGCGGGAGAACTGCTCTGCCCTGCCCCTGCCTAGTCACCCTACATGAGGCCACCCCTCCCTTCAGGTGGGGCAGGCAGCCAGAGCTCCACACCACTGCTCACATGCAGTGAGCTTGGAGCAGAAACACACACACACACACACTCCCTGCAGCCAGTCTGGGGGTGGGCAGGGGTGATAGCCATGGTTGCACACAGGGGACACAGGAGGGAGGGAGCTGACCCGGTCTGGGGGGCCAGGCCATGAAAGGTAGGCAGAGCTTGCCCCGTGGGAACAGAGGCTGGGAGTGGGGGCGGGAGGGGGGGGGGCTCCTTCAAGGACCTGTGTCAAGATTGGAACAGCTATGCATGGGTGTGAGCTCAGGACCCTGGGCCCCCACCCAGTAAGGGGAGGTGCACCCCCCACCCTTGGGTGCCTGCCATGTGCACAGCCTCCGGGACTTGCTCCCACAGTCCTTTGCAGCCCGTGCCAGCACAGCGAGTCCGACGGAGTCCAGCCACCCCGCCAGCAAGCATGGAGCACACACTCCTGACCTCTGTCCCTCAGTTTCCCGCTCTGTAAAGTGGAGGACAGTGGGAGGGGCTGCGACCTCCAGGGGAGGGGCTCTCCCAGTCCTTGGCTGTCTCTGCCACTCTGGGGAGGCCTTGTCCGGACCTGCCTGCCCAGGGGACACTCACCTGATGTCGTAGCCATACATGTCCTTCTCGGGCCGTCCATGGATGACCCAGTGTGCCAGCTCCTGCCCACAGCCACCGCCCAGCATCATTCCTGGCGGGGGGAGGTGGAAGTGGGGGTCACAGTCTCCTGTTGGCCCCAGAGCCCCCCCCCATCCCCTGAGCCCCACAGTCTCTGGGCGCTGCGGCCGCACCCACCTGCGCTGTTGAAGCCACAGCCTAAGAAGAAGCCGCGCAGCTCGGGCGCCTCCCCCATCAGGGGCTTGTGGTCTGGCGTGAAGGATTCTGTAAGGGATGGGCCTGGTAAGTCTCCCTGCTCTGCACCCACCTGAGGACCGGGTCTCCCCAGAGAGAATGTGTCAGGATGGGGGTCTGCAGGTGCCTCCTTCACCCAGACCCCCCACCCCCACCGCTCAAACCCCAGCCCAAGAGCCACCTACTCCAGGGAGCTGCCCTGGCGTGCCTATCCAGCCACAGGATCCCCGACCATCCTCCTACCAAGAAGGGGCGCTTGCCTCCTGCCCTGCACGTCGTCCCAGGACCCCCACCCTCTGGACTGAGAGCCCCCAGGACAGGCCCGGCTCAGACTCAGCGCCCATCCGGCTGACACACACAGAGCAGCTTCCTAGGACAGAGTAGCCCCACCCCCACAGGATTTCTGAGATGGTCCGCCTCCATGGGAGCAGACGGCTTCCTCGTTCCCCCTCAGAGCCGCTGGTGGGTTCCAACCACCGACCTTGCCGTTGGCAGCCCTCTGCTTCGCCCACTGCTGGTGCTTGATTGGAAGCGAGTGTCTGGGGCCCTCTCTGCAGCCGGACCACGCGGCAGGGGAGCCTGGCATAACGGCACCATAGGGGCTTCCCAGCCTGGGGCCTGGATTTGAACCCTGTGAACTTGCCCCCCACTAGCAGAGTGCACTTGGGCTCTCTGAGCCTTCATTTGCCCACCTGTAAAGTCGGGGTGATGTATTTGCCCCACAGGGCTGTGAGTTAGGCAGCCCCACTAGTATCTGCAGCCCCCCATCATGGGCCAGGCCCCCCATCTGGAGCCAATGTCCAGATCCACACAAGGGGGCTGCAGGAGGAAGACAAGGTGGGGTGAGGGGCGCAGGGGGAGTGGGGTGTAGAGGTGGGGGGCTAAGGGTGAGCGGGGTATAGAGGTGGGAGCTGGGGCTCAGAGGGAGCAGGGTGTAGAGGTGGGGGCTGGGGCTCAGGGTGAGGGGGACCAAGAAAGCTTCAGGGACGCATCTGAGCTGATGGGGCCCAGACAGGGGGACAGGGGTCAGGGGTCCCAGAGCGAGGTGAGAAAGCGTTCAGCACCTGCAGGAGGGGGTGGAGCTGGGGGGTGAGGTTAGAGGACTGGAGGCAGGTGGGAGGGGACTAGGAGCCAAGGTAGGGAGCTGGGTGCTTCTCCGGGTGGGTGGAGTCCCTGGGCCCAGACACGTCTTCCCGCAGCCTGGCTCCATGACCCTACCTTCCCTCTCCATGGCGGGGCTGGTGCCCCTGCTCTGGGTGGCACGCTCCCACACCCCTGAGCTGTGCCCCCCAGTGGCGCCAGGTCTCCCTTGTCAGGCTGGAGGCCAGCCCCTGAGTGAGGGCGGCGCTGTGGATGCTGGGAATCACCCCCAGGAGGCCTCGCCCAGCTACAGCCCCCACTCACCCGGACCGCAGACCGTGGACTTGACCCCTGTCCTCTCCAGCACGGGGACCCGGTTGATGGCGCCTTCGATGTGCTGGGTGAACACGTCCCAGTCCAGGTCAAAGAGGCCAAAGGCAAACTTGTCTGACACCTGTGTGGGCGGAGTGGAGACCGTGTCCTGTGGCTGCCGGGAGCAGCCCAGAGCCTGCTCCTGGCCTCCCCTCGACCTCTGCCGGGTGGGCAGGCTAAGCAGGGCCAGGTCAGGGGCTGGGGTGGTCCCTCAGGTCCCCCAGACCTGTCTCCCCCATGGTAGGCCCTCAGCAGGCCTGTGTGTCCTCTCCTGTACAGACCTCCCCCCACAAGCATCCACCTGGCCACCTGCTTCCTCCTCTCTTTCCATCCCCGTGTTGACCCTGTTGTGCCCAGGCTGCCACGGGCCCCACTGCCTGGCAGAGAGGCCCTTCTCAGGTCTGGCTGGCCTCCCCCACGACATCAGTCAGGGGTGTGCTGCAGCGGACCTCGGGCCTCACCCCCATTCCTTCTTCCTAGGTCATGCCCACTCTGACCACCTCCTCCAGGAAGCCTGCCCTGACTGCCAGGCCATAGGCAGCCCTCCCACCTCAAGCTTCCCACGTTGCTCACACCCTGCCGATCTTGTTCAGGGTGCCGATCAGGACCCCAAAGTCCATGACACATGTGACCATCTGTGTGCCACCAAACACAGCACCCAGCCCAGGCTTCTTCCCATCACACCCCTCCCAGAAAGCTGGACACTCTCCGGTCATGTGGCCACCAGCACGGGTGGACACTGTGAGTGTAGGGACAGGGTGGCCGTGTGCACTCAGGGGTCCCCAGGCCTGGAGGAGAGGCTGCTGCAGCTGGGGGAGTGGGGTGTGGGGGGCAGTGGTCCTGACAGCTTCCATCCTCTGAGGTCAGCATGCGTCTGCCCCACAGCCCCTCGCTCCTGGGGCCTCAGCACAATTCTGACCCTGGGTGTTGTTCTCTTTGGGGGGGCTTAGAGAAAATGGGGCTTGGCCTCCCTTGTGGGGCCATTGGGCCTGCCCCAGCAATGCCCCAGGTGTGTGGCTAGAACATTTCAGTGGGTAGGGGGGTCTGGAAGCCCCTTGCACAGTGCACCCCCTGCCCAACTCACAATACCCCCAGGGTTCAGCCGCTCACCTCCTGGCAGAAGATGGGGTTGGCTTCATAGCCGCCCACAGACAAGGCGTCCCCCTGCAGGCGGAGGTACACAGACGCATCGTGGTCTCGGACATTGGGCATGTTCTGAAAGGCAGAGTGCCGGGGCCTGGGGTCAGCAGGCCGGGCTGGGGCCAGGCGTTCCCCCACGAGGGGACCTTGCCCTGCTCTTGTCACGGGCCCTGAAGACAGCACGGGTAAGGCTTCTGTTTCATGCAGCACCAGAAAATGCTCCTCATCCAGGTCTCCCCTTCCCCACAGGTAACAGCCAAGGGATGGGAAGAAGGGGACACAAGGAGAGGTGTACCCACAAAGGTCAGAGAGCAGGGGAGGTGACGGTGGGGTGGGGAGTGGTCCAATGTCCACTTCTGGTGGACAAGGAGACGCCGCTCAGGTTCAGGGTGAGGGACAGGATGAGTCAAACTCTTTGTCCCCTTCCCCAGGGGCCCCCATAGCTGAGCAGGGCAGGGGGTCTGAACACAGGAAAGTTGGCTAAAGGTTGAACCCAGGTGCTGCCCCCACCCCCTTCCAGGCTCTGTGCTCCAGGTTCCAAGAGGGAAGAGACTTAGGGGAGGGGTCTCTGGCCACAGCAAAGGGTGCTGCTCTAAGAAGCCCACCCTCTCCAGCTTCAGATCAGCCAGATGGTCACTGGAGACCACAGGTAGGGCTCTGAGATGGGCGGTCTTGGGACACACCACACCAAGGCCTGCTGATGCCCTCCCTGCCCAGGGGAAACCCAATGCACAACCAGACATCCGCTATCCAGTCAGTGCTGATCCACAGCGTGCCCGCTGGACGGGGAAGCTGCCCCTTGAGATCTCCCAGACTGGAACTCTTCGGAAATAGAAAGCCTCATCTTCCACCCGAGGAGAAGCAAGCCCTCCTGAGGGTGTCTTACAGGAAAGGCAGAGGGCGGCCTGTGAGGCCCCAGCAGGCAGCCAGGGGATGCCCCAAAGCCCCCCGTGCTACAGAAACTGGGGCCCACAGGGAGCAGGGCCCTTCGATGCCAGAATCTGGACTCCCCACAAAGAACATGGGGGCTTTGGGGCTCGGGTCTGGGGCAGCCCAGATGGGCATGGAGCCTGCTTGCCCAGAGCACTTGTGGGCACCCAGCTGCCCATGCCCAGGGACCTCCTGACCAGGCGTGCAGAGGGTGTCAGCAGGGAAGGCCTTGGAAGGGTCCCCTGAGCTCCCGAGGATGAAGGCCCTGCCTGACATGACACCGCTCTCTGTGCTGGGGGTGGGCAGGTAGTGGTCCTGGCCAGCCGTGAGTGACCCGTGGCTATGGGTCAGCATGGGTCCCCAAGGCTGTGCCTGTGCCAGCCAAACGGACTTGTCGGGAGTCCCGCTGGCTGGCACCGGGGCCTGTCCGGGGGTGTCTTCTTCAAGAGGAGGACCCGGGCACACAGGGAATGGGGTCGATGACACTGGTGAACTGCGGGGACAAGCCAGACTGCCTAGAGAGGCGGGCACAGGGTGGTCCTGCTGACACCCTAAACCCGACTTCAGTCCACAGAGCTGTGTGTGGGCCCCCGCGGCCCGGGCCCCAGACCCCCCTATGGCCCTCAGGATGAGGATGGAGGCATGTGAACCTTGCTCCCCAGTCCCCCACTTCCTCCAGCAAAGTTTCCGAGCTCTGGTCTGGAGGCTGGCCCCTTGGCTCCTGGACCAACCTGAGCTTAGCTTCATGAGAGGACCATCACCCCGGCATGTAAGGCTCTCACCTGGGATTCCACGCCTCAAAGTCAGGCACTGGTGGACACCCCGTGGTGACCCGTCCACCACCTGCCCTTCAGTCCAGCCCAGGACCCACCAGGAGCTGACTGCAGCCAAAGAGTGCCACCTGGTGGCCAGTAGGGGACAGCGCCCAGAGCCGGCTCAGCAATCAAGGGCTTCTCCTAGCGCTGAGCAGGCCTGCTGGAGCACCGTCCACCACAGGGACTATGTGCACGGGAGAGCACCAGTCCGCACACCCAGCCAGGGGAAGGAGAATCAGACCCGTCCCACCCTCTGCCCATGTACTTTCCAGGCCAGTCCCGCCCTCTGTCCATGTACTGACCAGGCCCGTCCTGCCCTCTGTCCTTATACTGACCAGGCCTGTCCCACCCTCTGTCCATGTAATGAACAGGCCTGCCCCACCCTCTGTCCATATACTGACCATCATGCCTCATCTCTGACACCCTGCTGGCCAACCAGCCCCTCCCACTGCCCATTATCCTCTGAGCTTTGTCCCTGCCCCCACCCCATGTGCCCTACCAATAAGCACCCCTCACCTCCTCTGGGGTTGTCTGTATCACTGCCCACCGCCCATACCGCCACCACTGCCCACCCTTTCCTCTTGCGGCCCCGAGGGAAGGAGGGAAAGAGGGCAGGGGCCAGTGCTCCCTAGGATGTGGGGGGAGCACGCAGATCCGCAGGGTTCCCAGGACCTAACAACAACCTCCTACTCATGGACGTGACCAGAGAGGACTCAAACCGACCGTGTCTGAGGGAGAGACCATGGGGCAGCCGAGTGAGGCCAGGGGCTGGTTGGGAAGTGGACCATCAGAGGCTCCTGCATGCCCATCAGTTCAGGGTGGAGTTTAAGACGAGTTCTCATAAGTTCAGGCTAAAGGGAACGGGCCACTGCAGAAAGGCAACCCGGCAGGGCAGGCTGGGGCCACGGTTTGGGCACCAGAGAGCCCTGCCCCAGGTCAGGGGGGTGGCATACACCCCACCCAGCCACCCCCACCCCTGCCACCTCCTCTCTGACATCTCAGACCATCCATCTCACAGATGACGTGACTGGGGCCCGTGGGAGTCATGCCGTCTGTACCTCGATGGCCCGGGGCTCAGAGTCAGGCCCACAGGCACCCCCACGACCCAGGCAGCAACACCTGAACCCTGGGGCATCCAGGCCCTAAGTCACCTGGATGCTCTCACCCATCTGGGCCCTGGCTCACCTGGATGCCCTCGATGCGTTCAGTGACGACGTAGGCATGGTGCATGGCCACCAAGGGGACCTTGACTCCAGCCATGCGCCCCACTGCACCGGCCCATACTCCTGCAGGGGAGCACACACGCTGCTCAGGACAGCCCTCCTGGTGGCAGGCCACAGGACCCCTGCAGGCCCACCTAGGCCGCACCCCCACCCCAGAGAGACACCGGGCAGGGGCAGCGGGAGAAACCACCCTTCCACCTGCGCAGTTGACCACGACGGGCGTCTGGATGGAGCCGTGCATGGTCTCCACCGCTGCGACGCGACGCACCCCGAAGTCGTCCGTGCACACTCGGATGCCGGTCACTGGGCAGTTCTCGATGACCTGGCCCGAGAGAGCTGCTGCCAGTGTCCTCTGGGGTCTGGGGCTCCCCACTCTCTGAGCACCCACTCTCAACAGACAACCTGCCCCCCTTGATGGGAGCTGGGGAGCAGACTCAGCCCTGGAGCAGTGGGGCAGCCACAGGTGGGGCTGCCAGCCAGGTGGACACGTCCAGAGGAGTGGACCCATCATCTCTGCTGGACACGACCACCCGCCCTGGAGACTCCAGGGGTCGGTCAAGCTTCATCTGAAGAAGTGGGACTTGGAAAGCAAATGTTTTGAGAATGATGAGGGCAATGAATGTACAAATGTGCTTTACACAATGGATGGATGTATGGATTGTGGTAAGAGTTGTATGAGGCCCTAATAAAACTATTTTTTTTAAAAAGAATGTACAAATGTGCTTTACACAATGGATGGATGTATGGATTGTGGTAAGAGTTGTATGAGGCCCTAATGAAATGATTTTTTTAAAAAGCGGGACCCGATAACCAGGGTGCATTCGAGCAGGGATGTATCACACAAGAGTCCTCTGGTTCCTTGGGGCTCCCTCCCCACCCACTGTCATGACCCCAGGGCTGCTTCCCACTGTGGACTGAATGGGAGCATGTGCACAGAGAGGAGATAAAGCTCTCGGCACACGGAATCCAGGAACGGCATGGGAGTAGTGATACAGGGCAGGGGGAAGTGGAGGGGACGAAGGGAGAGCCGATGGCAATAATCGACACATAACCACACACACCCCTCCAGGGGGAAGAACGACAGAAACCATGGGGGAAGAGAGACAGCGGTCAGTGTGAGATATGAAAACAATAACAATCTACACTCTATCAAGGGGCCCGGGGGGTGGGGTGGGGTGGGGCAAGAAAAGAGGAGCTGATCCCAAGGGCTCAATAGAAAGCAACTGTCTAGAAACTGGCAACCTACGTACAAACATGCCTGATACAATCTACGTGTGGATTGCAACAGGAGTTGTAAGAGCCCCCAATAAAAGGAGCTCTCAATAAAAAACGAGGTCGTGTGAGAGAATGCCCGCGGCCACGTCCACCTTGGTCCCACAGCGCTGCAGCCCAAATGCTGGCAGGTCGAGGCCCTCAGAAGAAAGGCCTGATGGTCCTGGGCCTGACAGCCTTCACTGGAGCCCCGAAGGAGTGTGGCTTTGCTCTGGCGCCCACGAGGGTGCCCGGGGTCAGAGCCCGGAAGACAGCAGGGGGAAGAGAGGGGGGTGCCAGCCCAGGAGCTTCTCCCAGGAAGCTCCAGAAATCCAATATCTTATTCCATTTGCCTGCGAGCTTCTTCAAGCCCCTGAGAGACAGCACAGGACCTGAAGAAGGGCATCCTGCCTGGTGAGGGGCGGGGGGCGGGCGCAAAATAAAAAGGACAGCCCTCAAAGATACGATGGACATGGGGGGCTCCAACCAGGGCCTCCAACGGAGCGCAATCGTGAGGCGGGAGCAGGACCGGGCAGTGTTTAGTTCCGTTTGCCGTCCATCGGGCCACTGTGAGTCGGCACCGAGCATCAGGGCAGATGCACAGTGTGCAGGCACACCCCGTCTCACAGGGCCTGCGGACACACGTGGGGCACACATCTGAGGTCCACGCCAAGCCTGCCACGGCATCGTCTCACGGGCGCGAGCTCTCGCTGCCTGCCCGTGCCACAGCCTGGTCCCTCGCTCGCTGTTTCCAACTTGCTCACCAGGCGGTACCATCCACGACCAGAAACAATCGAAAAGACTCTCCGCCACCGGGTGGATGCCCAGCGTAGAGACCCTGCGGCCCGGGAGAGCCGCCCCTGTGGGTTTCCCAGGTTGTGACAAAGCCAGCCTGGCTCTCTCCCTTGGCTTCTGCTGCAGACCCTACGGGACCTGCGGAGCCACCAGGCTCGCTCTGTCAACAGCCATTGAACTTCCCAGCACCTGTAAAAGGTTTGCCGCTTCCTCCCCCTGCTATCATGACCCCAGTTCTACCTTACAAATCCAGCTAGACCAGGAGCATGTACCCTGGTACAGAGAAGAGCTCTCTACACATGGAATCCAGGACAGATACACCCCCAGGAACAGAAAGGGGAGTAGCAATACCATGAGGGTAGGGGGAAGGTGGGGAGAGGAGGGAGAAGAAGGAGGAACGGTTCACAATGATGGACGTAAGACGGCACCCTGCACCCCTGTCCAGGTGGGCGAACAGCAGAAAAGTGGGTGAAGGGAGGCAGCAAACTGTGTAAGACAGGAAAATAAGAATCATTTATAATTTATCAAGGGTTCACGAGGGTGGGAGGGGAAAAAGAGCTTATACTCAGGGCTCAAGCAGAAAGAAAATGTTTTGAAAGTGATGAGGGTGACATATGTACAAATGTGCTTGATACAATGGATGGATGGATTGGTATGAGATCTGTAATAAGAACCCCCAATAAAATGATTTCTAAAAAGGTAGGTTCACGCAGGAGTGTGGAAACTTGTTTTTTATAGGCACCGGGGCTGTGGCTTCTCTTGTTGTTTCTACGTGTGTGTGACTGAGACCCCAGAAGACAAATTACAGAGGGGGCTCCTGGCCGAGCCACCCACTGCCAGGGGAAGTTGAGTGTCCATGGAGGGGGGAGGGGGACAAGGGCCGGCTGGAGGAGGGCCGGGCCCCAGTACCTGGGCTCCTCGGGCAGTGGCGGCCCTAGCCAGGGTGGTGCAGGTCCCAGCAGGGTCCATGGTCCCGTCGTGTGGCACGTACAGAGTCCCGTAGAGGTCGTCCACGTTCATCAGCGGGTACAGCTCCTTGGTCTCTGCTGGGCTCAGCACGTGGGACTCCACGCCATAGGCCTTGCCCAGCTAGGGGTCCCAGAGACAATGACTAGCCATTGGAAGCTTGCCCCAGGCCCTCTCCCAGGGCCCCTCTTGTCCCACCTTCCAATGCCCGGAAGCCTTGGCCAGGTGCCTCCTGGAACTCTGGCCAGGACCCATGACCCCCTGACCCTCTCCCCTGAGTCAACAGCAGGGTCAGCACGGGACCTGAGCAATGGGTGATGATAGCTTCTCTCAGGAGCCGGGTGGCTCAGCAGTCAAATACCCAGCTGTTCAGACACTGGGGTAGGGCTCCTCTGTCACCGGGTCACCGGGGGTCACCGGGGGTCACAGGGGGTCAGGATCAGTGGAGGGCACAGCAGCAGTAGTTTCTGGGACCAGTGTGGTGGAGGGACTGAAGGGGCCCTCAGCCCAGGAAACATGGGCCTGGCACACGCTGCGTTTTGTACAAAAGGTTTGAGGCCACCCAGCGTCCAGCAAGCCTGTGGGCATCACGTCCCCACAGCCGTGCTCACTCTGTCTGTGGTCACACTCACAGTTTCAACTTTTTCCAAGCTGTCTTTCAAACTTTCTCATCGTGCTATTTACTGCACATTGAGAAATTTGTTTTTAATTTTTAAAAACCCACTGCCATGAACAGGTTTTGACTCATTGGGACCCTCTAAGCAGCGGTTCTCAGCCTTCCTCATGCCTCGACCCTTTCATACAGTTCCTCATGTGGTGGGGAGCCCAATCATAACATTATTTACGTTGCTACTTCATCACTGTCATTTTGCTACTGTCGTGGATCGGGCGACCCCTGGGAAAGGACCGTTCGACCCCCAGGTCCTATAGGGTTTCCGGGGCTGTGCATCTCTATGGGAACAGACAGCCTCATCTCCCTTGTGCAGAACAGCTGGTGGGTTTGAACCACTGACCTTGCCTTAGCAGCCCACAGGTCCAGCTGTGTTTGCCCTAGACTGTAGGCGCAGAGCCCCCATGGCTCAGTGAGCGCCCTGTCAACCACAAGGTCAGCAGTTCAAAACCACCAGCTGTTCGGTGGAAGAAAGACAAGGTTTTGAACCGGGAGTTGCCATCTCTGAAACCTCCGGCTGTCGGGTGTTCGTGAGTCGGAATCCCTCCAGGGCAGTGATTTGCAGTCTAGGGAAGCGGCAGGTAGTCTGTGGGTCAGACCAAGGGCAAACGCAGCTTCAATTCACTAGGAAGCCCCAATAAGGGGTGCGACCCATCGGGAACCCACAAGTAAAAACCTCCCCTGTGGATCTAACGTTTGGGGCCGGCGGCTCGGGTCCCGTGCAGGGCACAGAACACCACCTTCTCGGACTGCTCAGTGCCTGGTAGGCCACGCCTCCCCACAGATGATTGGCA